CCCCCGCCCCCCCCCCCCCCCCCCCGGCTATGGACCTGGTCTAGCACGCCCTCTCGTGGGCCCCAAAGTTTACCATACTTTACCCAAGTACTTTTAAGTTACGAAGGTTTGTGCCAGACATTTCAGCCGCTTAAACTGAGTATCTCCGAGGTGTTAGATCGACCCAGCTACTACGATAGTGTTATGGGAACGGTCCCTAATAGATTGTTTTGTGTGTTTTCGGTACTTACTACAACCAGACAGAGAACCGAGGGTACGGTGGATAAGGTACTAAAAGGGAAGTGGTCGGAGATGAGCCCTCCGAATAAAGGCCCAATGAAAAGCCTAAATACAAACAATTAAGGAAATGCATATAATCTTTTGATGAAAAATTTAGACAACAGACAGAAAATATTCACATAGACTGATAAAATTTAATATATTTTTCGTAGAATTAAAATATTTATTTATTTTGATTAAGGTTCAGTTAATTAACAGTATTCTTTGCATGTGCGACATGTACCAATTACAATTCCAAACTGATCGGCATCAAATGTGTTTTAGTGACTTTCCGGCATTAAGTATTTCATAACGTAACGGTTAATCATTTTAATAATTATTATTTACATTTTATTGCCGGCTCAAAGTATTTAAAATGTACGGTTAAATAAAGAAAAAAAAAACAAATACAAGAATTGTAAAAATTTTAAATATTTCTTTCATTTTATCTGCCCATTCGCAAAATTTTAAAAGGATACTCATAATCTCATTATTGATATGTAAAAACACTTACCCTAGCCCGAAAAAAGATTCAAATAATCCTGATAGATTCCCGTACGTGGTAATATCATCTGGTAAGCCGTCCGCTCTGAAAAGACGGTTAGTAAATCTCAATCTAGACTATTATACGTGACCGTTTTCAAGTATGTAACAACGCTTGTTTTAGTTCAACTGTTAATTACCGTAATTTTCTTATTTCAAAAGTAATGGAAAATTAAGCATAAGGATAAATTGTACACAAAAAAGTGTTTATTACTGACGTGGCTCACAGAACAATTATCATTTTTCATTTTTTGTGTGAAAAAAATGCACCATATTTAAGGGCGGTATCATGCTTTACAAGCCAAGAACGAAAGGAAGATTAATTATAGTGTATTATCGTTATTTTATTAAAAAGCCTTATATCACTGCGATGTAAAGACTCACGTGACTTCTGAAATGCGATCAGCCATTACTGCCACTTGATTACAAGCGAGTCCAATTCCGACGGTGCAGCCCCCTAGGTATACGCTCCACGACGCCCTGGAAAATTCCATAGGTTGGCTTATATAATAATAATAATAATAATAATAATAATAATAATAATATTAATAATAATAATAATAATATTGTTAAAAGTTATTATTAAAAGTTTTCAATCAGTGGGTTGAAGTTGCACAGAAAATATTTAGATCATTGCAATAATAATAATAAAACATTTTATGTTTGGGGGGCTTTACCATATTTCCAGACGAAGAAAGTACTGTACTTACCCTTTGCCATTAGGATATAAATTGTTAAATGGAACCGCGGGTCCTAGTAGAGCAAAACCCAGGGTTTCAACAGTAAGGCCTGTGATTATCTGTAATTTATTACGATTCTGGAAAATAAAAAAGTACACATACTTGAAGCACAAATCTGTGAATCTAAGAACTATATTTTGCCAATCTACAGGGGAAAAATAAAGATAAAAATACGCAAGTGGGCTTAAGAGGGTTGTTATTTTCAGGTATTTGTTTCAATAAACCTAACAATAAAATCAAATAAACTTGACATCACGAATGCCCAATATACATATATGAAAGGCAAAGTAATACAGAGAAACATATTCAGCGTTAGCTGCACGGGGATACGTAATCAGAATATATAAATATATTTGTGCATACCACACTGGTATAAATGTGTATATAAAAACTATGTGAATCAGCATTTATAGTTAAGCCATTTACGCCACGCTTTATTTTTGACCAGACCCGCGCCCTTCTTAATAATTTCAGAATGAGCGTTGTTGCTAGGTTCAATTTGACCACCCTGTACTTCGTACTTACAAATTTACTGGACACCAGTCCAAATATGGGCACGAGCAACGTATAGCACGTGCCAACGGTGGCAAAAGCCACGCCTATCATGACGTAATTGCCTTCTAGGTTAGAATCCACCTAGAAAGAAATATCTGATAGGTAGTAAAAAGGGAAGACATTTCAATGGCATTCTTAGTGACACTAAGAAAAACTAATGTACGGAAAAGACCCTTTTACAAGTGAATTTAAGCTCTTCAAACTTGGGTCTAAGAACTCAGACTACAACATGCATCTATTCCTTTACAATATAAATTCATGACAGATTAAGTAAAGCCAATATTGGTCTAAAACTAGTGTGACTTGTTCTATAAGAGGTTCACATTTTCCTTATTTTGAACTAGTGTAACGTGACACAGAGCACCCCATGATAGAGAGTCCGCCTCCCATTTATTTGTACAGGTAAACCTGGCCCTAGATTTTGACCCACTTAGATCAGGCTAACCCTAATAATTATAACTAAATGGAGGGCGGACTTCCTGTTACACTGACCCTACGTTTCGTTACACTAGTACTATTGATTAATCTCCGGTTTAAAAAAAGGATCTTACGTCTCTCAGGTGCTGTGCTAGTGCAGGAAATAACGCTCCAACCCCAACAGATGGTATAAATATTGCAGAGTATTCTATCCAGGCAAGAGGTTTTTTCAGCATTTCA